TGGAGCCATGCTGACAAGCACACCAAAAACCTTCCAAACGCCACAAAACACACCACAAGCCTCACCGAACGTCTCGGTGAGATTGCTACCGTGATCTCGCCCACAGGAAGCCGCGACCGTGTAGCAGCAGGGAAAATGGCCGCGGATCCGGTTCGTAACCTGAGGCAGAGTTCGCAAACCGAGGTAAATTTTTATGGCCGGAGCTGGTCGTAACCCGAAAAGTTCATTAACAGAGGCGTTCGTAACCCGAGGTACCACTGCATTATCTTAGGTGGAAGCTGTAAGGTGATAGCAATGAAGAACTGCTAGTAGTGGCCTATAGCATGAAACCTCATTAAGCTGGGCCTGCCTGAAACACCTAGGATCTCAAAGGGATTAGAAAAGCAGTTTTTAAAAAAGAAAGAAGAAAAATTATTTCAGCCTGTAATGCCAAGGAATGTACAAGTTGCACAAGGACATACTATTCAAGTTTTGGAAGATCTACATTCATATGCAAATTCATGAAGAGCAATATTCCACATAATAGTATTGAATGAATAACTGAAACAAAGGGAATATTCAAATGGATACAGCATGGGTGGGCAATCTTTAGGCCACCTGCAACCCCTGAAATGTTGGCACCCCTTAATGCTCCCCAATCTCTGATAGAGCAGTTTGCAGGTGAATTTATGTTGGCAGGCAAGGAACATAAATGATTTTGCAGTAACATCACATGCTTTTAGCCCAGAAAAACAAACAAAAAACTTGTGAGCACTAACAATGCTGCCCACCCATCAGATTTTGAATAGTTTCAAAATGCACTACTGTTTACCTGATAAGGTGGAAAATATGCTAACCATCTTCCTATGTGAGTGGCATACCATCCTGGTATCAGACATTTTTTCTGCAGAACCTTAAGCTCTGATGAAGCATGATGTCCTGCAGTGATTACTTGATAAAATGTAAATTTTAAAGCAGCCGGGTCCTTGTGAGACCTCTGATGCTGAAAAACAAAATTGAAAGATGGCAACTGTAAAGCAAAGTTAAAGTCTTAATACTGTTTAGCCAGAAGAAATTCAGAATATATAACTGCTCTTTCATTTCTCAGTATTCTCCTTCCACCAGCTATTATACCTCTTTGATTCAAGGCCAAATACAAAGCAAGCATATTGCTGGCTTTAATACTAACACGGTTATATACAGATTAACCAGTATAAAAGAAGACAGAAGCAACAGTATATAAAATGCAACACTAATATACTGTAATTGTGTGAATGCTTTTAAAAGTAACAATTTGGCTATCTCATTTGATAAGACATTTTATTGTTTGACAGAATCTTAGCAAAATGACATAATTACGTTTTCTATCTTAGTAATGAAGCTTAGTAATGAAGCTTTGTCTTGACTCCTGTTAATGAAAAAACTGTTGTCTTCTGATTGCTGGGCACATGCTCATTCTTAAGTTGTAGCAGTCAGTACACAGTGAGATGGCGAGTAGTCTCATTCCCCAATAAACATCTGAATTACAATTAAAGAAGGGATCAAAAAGCTTTCATTGATAGCTAATCTCTTCTAAGTCTACCAATTATGGACTTCTCAATAATGCTTTATACTTCAGACTATAATTAAGACATGTAATGGATAATGGAAGCAAACCATTACAATTTATCATATGTACATCTAGAATTTGCATTCATTCTTAAAATTTCTACCTGATACCAGGAGTATGCTCGATCTGAGGGATCAATGAGAATAGTGATGATTTTTGCCTTAGGAATTAAAGAAGCTGCTCGTTTAGGGGCTTCTTCAGAATGAAAATAGTTGGCACTCTTCTCAAAGAGAAAGTCAGTAGTTACATTGGAAGGTGTAGGAAATAATTCCATATACCTACAAAATATAAAGCAAATTAGTTCAGTACTTATATAGAAAGGAAGTTATGCTGGGCACATTAAAGCTATTTTTCTAGCAAAACTAATTATATATTTGCTACATTGTATATATGTGAAACCAATATACACACACACACGCAATTGTCAAGTGATTTTTAACATTGTAGTTCTCTGCCTAATTGTATTTTCTAAATAGAAAGCATTACATCATAAGTTAACTTTTAGAAGAGGAGATTTTGATGTGTTTCGGTTTGGGTTACATTTAAACTGGCCCAGAACAGCAGTAACTCTGACGTGTTTATGACAAAGAAATGGCAAGAGGTTTTGCATCAGAAAATAAAAATCTGCTTGGAACTTTGACCTTTGACTGTCAAATCCGGTTGGAGTAAACAACATATATAATAGCTGTGAACTGATACAACTAAAATTTCCATTTGCTTTCAGTGCTCTGGCCATATTGATTCACATACAGTACTACATGTTGTCTTTACAACTATCCTTGTTAAAAGTTAGAGTCCATGATATAGAATTTGTCGTCAAAATGAACATTTGAAAATATCAACATTTGTTTTCTTTTTCAGCAACACTTTCTATTTTCCACCTTAGTGGTATAAAGTGCTATCAACTATATGATCTGTACATATTTGTCCGTGGTTGCAGCTCATAGATCTCATTAAGCAGTTGGGCATTTTATATTTAACGACATTAATTTGCCTAACAGATGAACTTTATAATAAGTTTTTTTTTGTTTTGTTTTTTTTGCCCAAAAGTAAAACTACTTGACTTCATTCACTCTAAAAATGTAGAATGGTTTCCTTTCTTCAGGGTGCTAGAACATCTGTCAACATGTACAATTACTTAAATAGAAGACACTGGACAGAACCTAGTGTGAAGTTCATACACCGGGGAATCTTTACAAAGAATCCAGTCATTTTATGGGACTTGCAGAAAAACGACTTAGCCCATTATGTTACTGGACTTGTTATAAATAAAGTAGTAACTCGTTTAAAATACTGTTAAGCTGTAATCCAGTATCCACTTTCCAGCAAATAAGCTCACTGAATTCAGTGGACAAAATTTTGAATAGGGGAAGTGTGGAAGTTTTCAGAGTGGAGGAGGAAGAAGTGGGTTAGTTAAGCTAGCTTCAAGTAGGTCCATCCGAAAAGAAGTGGGATGTTGATCCATGAAGTCTTAATACTATATACTGCAGTACATATAGAAAAGATTTTTTGAAATTGTGGAAATGTTTAGAAATCTCTACACAAAAATATAGCAGAGTTTTTGTTATTTCAATACAGTATATTGCTTCAGTAAATAAAAACTTGTTTTATTATTTTTATAGAAATATATTTGCATTTCCAGCACAATAATATGTGGCTGACTTTTTAATTAATTTTTGATTCCTTGCACAATTAATGCAATCCATTGTATATACACAACTATTTTCTAATTTCCAAGCAGAAACAGCAAGAACTGTACTTGCAGCTGAGGACTATATATATATGCACACAATTTTTAGAAGAACTGTAAAAGTCCATACTAAGTTGCATATACACACATTAGATATGGCATGTATTTTTGTATTGTGCACAATATAGAATGATTTAAATTTATACTGTTAGCCCATCTTACCAATCAATCCCCTTGTGGTAGTTATTTCTATTAAAGAACTGTACCTCCTCAAAGGTTTTGGGGCTGGGGGAGTTACTAATGATGGAAGGATGCATAATCAGGAACAAATATAAAGCTGTTGTGCCTGCAAAAAGAATAACAGTCCAAGAATTGAGATGAAACTTCTGCATTCCGTCAATCAGATCCATATTTTATGTAGGATTAAATAACACCTTTTTAGCAAACATCATCCTACTTACACTAGCAAATAAAACAAAACGTAAAACAAAATATTTTTAAAGGAAAAATAAACATGCATGTAAGGCCTTCTTTAACGATCAAAAGTAAGTTTTCTTTGACAGATGCTGAGCTGAAATTTATTCAAACAGCATCTGAATGGAAAAAAAATCAAGATACATTGCTTTAAAAATGTTCTTTTTCCCCTAAAACATTGTAAAATCACTACAGGTAGACATTTGGGTTAAGCATAAGAACAAAAAGACAACACTTAACCCTGACAAGGTGGAGTAGCTTTGGGTTTTTGCCCCCCCCCCAGGCCCTAGTGATATGTCATCTTTGACTCTGGATGGGGTGGGACCCCCCTGGCTGAGCTGGTGCACAATTTGGAGGTCCTCCTAGACTCATAGCTCCTGCTGGAGGAGCAGGTAGCAGCCATGGCTATTATTTAAAGGACCATACCAAGCATGTCAAAAACCACACCCCAAAGAGGACATGGCCAGGATCCATTAGAGTTTCAGGATCCATTAGGGAATCTATTGGGGATTTGCTACCGCCATGCCAATTTCAAAAATGAAAAAAAAAAAAAGCCCAATCATTTTGGCCCTACTGGTTTTGGGGGATGGAGTTATGAAAACCTCAAAAAGGATATTGGCTTGTGGCCCCAGGCCATGTTTCTGTATTTCTGGTTTATTGGCTGCAGTGTACACCCTGTATAGAAGTTCTTACCAGTTTTTTGTGGTCCAATAACCAGGAATTTTGGTAAACGATCACAAGTTTTTTCTTTAGACCAGATATCTCTATGTCGTTTGTCATCACAAGGATTCTAAATTGAGGGGTAAAGCAATCTATTATTAGCTTTTGAATTTTTTTACCACTAGTCTATGCTAATCAAGTGTTTCGCTGTACTGGAGAAAAGACAGAAGGCAAATCCATCTAGTGAAAAATAAGTCTCCACTTATTAATCTATGAAAAATTTTAAAAAGATGAATATTGCTATTGGGAATATGAATCTCCCTTACAATTAAAATGTAGTTTTATCTTATTCTAATCTAATTATAGTCCATGCCTTATTTCTATTGTGATCCTAAAATAATTTATGGCATAATCTTATATGATTATTCAGGAATATCCCACTGAGTTACATGATGCTTTCTTTCTTAATATTTAAGATATTAAATATTAAAATCTAATATTTAAAGCTTTGGTTTAGAAAAAGTATTTGGGAGTAATTTCAACAAAAAGATATATGATATAGTATGTTATTTTGATATCTTTGCCTTCTGTAAACTGGCCCTTTCCAGATATGTTAGAACTCCCATTTCTGACCAGGTTGGCTTGGTATTCTACAAGGAGCAATGCCAAAGTTCCTGGAGTATGTACATTTTAGAAGACTGAAGTAACACATTCTAGTAGTTCCTTTTACTTTCTTTTATAGTGAAATCTTCTTTATTCTTCTTTATTCATGAAGCCTTCTCTAGTTCAAAGACCCTTCAATTTGTGTACAACAAATTGTTTCTTATTTTGACTATGATATACTATTGTGTTTTTTATATTCAGCCATCAGTCAAAAATTGCATCTACATACAGCAACTAGCCATTAATAGAAATAAACAAATAAATAAATAAATAAAATAACCTCATTCTTTACCATGTACACAAGTATATTCTTTTCTGCAATAGTATTTGATTACATATATTAAATTTAAATTTTACAACAGGTAAAATTACAGTACTCTTGCAGTGCATGTCTTACCTGCCAGAGTGGGTCCTTTTGCTCAGGAAATAGCTCAAAATACTTGTGAGCCAACTGAAGTGGAGGTAGCGTCTGCAGCTTCAGGTTGGTCCAACTCTGAACAAAATTGGCCAGACTGACAAAGGTGTATAAACCCAATCGGTCATTCCCATAATTAGACAGGTGAGTCATAAAGATACTGATCTTGAAGACAAAAGGCACATTTTATTCTATCACTAGATGGCAGTGAAGTAACATGGAGAATGAGATTTGTCCTTTTAAAATGCATACACAAGAATAAAGCATTAAGTTTTTTCCTATTACTTACACTTACAGGTATTGGTGATCAATCAGCTCAAATATCATGGATGACATCATTATTCTAATTATCTGAAGGAGCCCAGAAGGATGCACAACAAATATTAAAAATATTCAATAAATATAAATCCAAACAATAAACTAAATAATAAACAGTAAAACATGGGAGTACTTAAGAAGAATTCATTTTAAAGGCAGTCTAATTCTTCCAAGGTCCATCTGAACATGAATGTCTTCACCTAATACTTAAAGTGGGACAGTGTGGGAAGCCAACCATTATTTCATCCATAAAAAAAGAGGCTTTTACCCTGAATTCTGCAAGCCATTTTACCATTTTGACCATCAGCTGATTCAGCTGATTGAATCATTGGCAGCACCCGAGGAAGCAGTTTTTAAAGTATTTGAGTCCTGAGTCATTTATCATCTATTGTTGTTATTATTGCCACTGTAGGAATAGTAATAGTGGTTAAGGCATCAGGCTAGAAAGCAGGAGGGTGAGTTCGAGTCCCACCTTAGGCATGAAAGCTGGCTGGGTGACTTTGGCCCAGTTACTCTCTCTCAGCCCAACTCACTTCACAGGGTGGTTGTTGTGGGAAAATAGGAGGAGGGAGGAGCATCAAGTATGTTTGCCGCCTTGAGTTATTTATAAAGATAAGGAAGGTGGGATAAAAAAATCTAAAACAAAAAATCCTCTCCCCCAATATTATTGATTTAGTATACCATCAACCACCAAAGTATCTAAGTGGTTAACAATAAAGCAAGTGTAAAATCAAGACATTTAAATTAAAGTAACAAAACTAATAAAAGGAAGTAAAACGAATTATTAATCAAAATTAACTAATGATAAAACCCATTCAAAAAGACATTGGGGCCCTCAATTTTGCAGGGAGGGCTTCCAAAGAACTGGGCAACAATAAAAATAGATTTAGGGAAGCAATAACCTTAAGACTTATGTTTTGTCTCCACAGTTCTTGTTCTCAGACACAGTGTTGTTCAAATGTGGCAACCTTAAGAGGTGTGGATTTCAATTCCCAGAATTCCCCAGCCTGGCTTGTGAGTAAACCCTTACTTACTCTCAAATGATGAAGAGGACGCAATCCCTCAACTGAATGCCACACTTATAGGTATGTTGAAAAGAAATAATTTTCCTTTTAGGCAAAACATGTTATTCCACATATATGACACTTTTGAATTGGTCACACTGATATTGCTTCTTTCCTGTTTGTGCTTTAGTTATGGGGAGACTGTAACTTTTTTGGGCAGAAGGGGATCTATCAGGACAGATGAAAAGTAATTTTGAATTGGGTGGATTCCAAGCCCTTTCGTCCCTTTCACTTATACCCAGAATTGCATTAAAGGGGAAAGGTATGTCAGTCCTAGATATGGAGAATTTATTTTCACAAAGCTGCTCTCCCAAACAGAACAAAACTTCTATCCTGCCAGTAGACAATATGTTCTATCCAATTCTTCATAATAAAATGTCTCTTTCAACTGCACATTGATTGCCTGTATCACTTCTTTTCTATTCTATAAAACAAAAGTCAGGACTGAATAAATTCTGCTAACCTTGCCACTCTTTAAACCTGTCAGCTTTTAAAAAGTGACAGCATTTCAGCCTGCTTATTTATTTTATGTTTACATTAAAATATATTTATTCTCTTTTTTCCTTTCTCCAAAATAAATTTGAATGCTAGCGGTCCTTTATTCTCTCTAGAAATAAAGACAATTAAAGAAGAAAATGTTTTAAATAAGATCTTAGAATTCCGTGTGGTCCCTGGCAAGCCAGTGGTAACTAGTTCTCAACTTTTGCCTTTTTCAGAGCAACAGTAGCAGAGTTTTCCAATTTTCTATTTCACATCATCTCCTTTGTAAGCCATATAATCATTTTGTCTTGACTTCTTGCCAGCATGCCTGGTTTCTTATACCACAAAATTGAAATGGCAGAAGGTCTCCTTTTGGGTCATTATGCATTCTGAACCTTGGAAGTAACAGAAGTTTTACCCAGCTTTTACTTTGTGATGAAAATGTAAAGCTAAAAAAACATGTAGGCTGACAATGGCACATTAGATTTGCTTTAGCAGTCTTTCTGGGTTCATGCCAAGTACGCAGAAACTAAAACAAACCATAAAGCCCTGTTGCTGCACAGCCTCCATTCAGTGGAATGGAGCATGTATGGATATATCTATTACTCCTGAGGAAGTGGAGAGAATCCTTGGTGACATTAGCTCTGTCACTGACAGCTAGATCTCTCTCTTAGCTGGCTTGTATGAGTGGCCAAGAATGGGAAAGGGAGCTGGAATTGGGTGGACAATGATGAATGCCTTGCTGTAGGAGGCAGAGATGCCAGAGATCCTGAAGTGGACCCAGTACATTGGCTTCTCAAGGACCAACCTTAGATCCAGTGGTGTTGGATAACTCTTGCTCAGTCTCTAATCTCTCAGTTTTGGGGAAGATTATTAAGAAGGTGATAGGGCAACCATTATCAAGGGCTCTGAGGAAAGTAGATTACTGTGACTCCCTTGGAGTCAAGATTCAGTCCTGGACATAGGACATAAATTGTATTGTTTACTCTCATCAATAACTTCTGCCAGGTCTTAGATGGGGAAGTATAACTCTATTAGTCCTGTTGCATTTCTCTGAGGCCTTCAGTACCACCAACCATGAAATCTTTATGAACTGTCTGCAAAGACTGGGAATTTTGCAGTGGTTCCACTCCTTCCTGAGTAGGCTGATCCAGTTAGTATGTGTATGGGAGGAGGAAGAGCTTTCTCCCCATTTTATTTAATATCTACATGAGGTCATTGGGGGAGGTCATCCAGTGGTTTGATGTATGGCATCAACAGTTCACTGATGATACCCAGTTAAACAACTCTACTCCAGATTGAATTGGACATATAGTAGAAATCTTCATATCTGGTAAGGGTTTGGATGCTGAGGAACAGGTTGAAGCTCAACCTGAACAAATTGGCTGCTGATTCAAAAACCAACTGTTCTGGAATAGTTCCAACTTTAGTTCTGGTAGTGTTCTTCTCCCTCCTCAGATTCATAATTTGAGGGGTCTTTTTGGACTAGATCAGTAACTGGAGGCTGTGGTTGCGACTGACTTTGCCCAGTTTTGGCTGGTGTGCTGGTTGTGTCATTCCTGGAGCAGGAGGACCTGATGACAGTTACTCATAACCTTGTTACCTCATGATTGAACTACTGTATTTTGCTGTACCTAGGATTGCACCTGAATACCACCTGGAAACTGCAGATGGTGCAGAATGTGGTGGTTCATATACCCAATATGTCACTAAACTGTGTTAGTTACCAGTTTGTCTTTGGGTGAAATTCAAGGTGCTGATAATAACATATAAGGTCCCATATGGCTTAAGATGTTGATCTCTATGAGATACCTACTTGCTTGAAGTACAATCTGCCCACCCAAATTGTGCCAGTAGAGAGCACTTGTTAAGAATCATCATCTCTGTGAGATGTGGCAGGAGACAACTTGAAGATAAGCATTTTCCATGAGAGCTGCCCTCCTGTGGAACCAGTTACCCTTACAGATAAGAAGGCATCCTCACTATTAATATTCAGTAAGTTGTTAAAAAGATGGTTATTCGAGCAGACATTTGGTGATAAGGATGTGATAATTTGATACCTAGGAGGTATATGGGGCTATAATTTATTATGATTTTACAGAACTAGAATGGGATTAATGTCTCTGACTTACTAGATTGTCCTTGACATTAGTAGATTGTATTGTTATTTATTTAGGCTGACTTGATTGAAACAGCACAGAAGTACCTATGGTAATCAATCAATCAATCAATCAATCAATCAATCTGGTGACCACCTCAAATTCAGTAGATCCACAAAGTGAATCATTCTTTGGGTGAACCAGGCCACTAAGGCTTCTTTGACAAACATGTTTAAACAAAGCATTCTTAGTGCAATGTGTGAAATCAGCTAATGTGCATAAGGCTAAATTTCTCATTAAAAGATTAACGGAACAATTTTTTTCCCACTATTTTATAAATACCATCTAAAGAGCATGCACCCATTCCTGGATCAGGAGGTAGATAGTGACTCATGCTTTCGTCACCTCCCGTGTGGATTACTGCAATGTACTCTATGTGGGCCTGCTCTCGAAGAACTTGAGAAAGCTTCAGTTGGTCCAGAATGCAATAGTATGAATGATTATGGCTTCATGAGTTGCACTGGCTCCCAATAGACTTCTGAGGGCAATTCAAGGTGCTGGTTGCTACCTGTAAAGCCCTTCATGGCATGGAGCCAGGATATTTGAGGGACTGCTTTTTTCCAACTTTTTTCCAATGAGATCTTGCAGAAGGGGAATGCTCCAAGTCCTGTTGATTAACGAGTATCACTTGGCGGGACCCAGGAAGCATGCCTTCTCTGTAGCAGCACTGCCCTTTGGAGCACCATTCTTAGTTAGACTAGGTCCAACCTTGCTTTTCTTCAAAGCCATTAAAACCAGGCTTAACTCTCAGGCATGGGTCAGAAGGTGGTTGAACTCATTAGTTATATGAATGCATTGTTGATTGGTGGCCATTTTTCTTCTGATGTGTTTTTATTTTTGTATTTTGTTTTACATAATGATGTTTTTATTGTTTTAACTGCCTAGAATCGCTTTATGTGAGATGGACAGCCATATACTATAAATCCAATAAATCACCATAATCATCAAGGATGGAGCTAATTTCACCTCCACTGTGAGGAATTCTAGTTGGAGGTGCTATGCAAAGATGATCCTACATGACACCTATCAACAAATTCATATGGCGGAAAGGAGTTTTTCAGATATCCTAGGCCCCGAGCACCTTAATATGGGCCTAAAACTAACGTGCAAATTATACACTTGACACCAGATGGATAAAATGTGG